TGGGTGAGATCTCAACTATTCCCAGTGATGGAGAAGGCCAGAAGTGAAGGAAAGCTTTCATTTCTCAGTTATGATAAACTTATCATTGAAGGGTTAGTGTGTGCCTACGATGATTCCAGTGGAGAGATCAAGCAAGTCGGTCAGAGAAAGAACTGGGAAAGACGAGATCCCCCTGCAGCCAAGTCGTCGACACGCCCTGACAGCCAGTCTACATCAACCTACTAGGGGTTCGGCCGTGGCCCCGGGCACACAGCTTTTAGACAATGCAAAGACATTACACAGAATGAGCATAAGCTAAATAACCCAGCCTCTTTACTGACTCTAGTAATTGTGATACAACGCAACTTGAACAAATGCCAAATAACAAAACTTATAGACAATCACAATATAATGACAACACACAAACTAATCTTAGTGACTCTGGTTTATTATCTTTGCTCTCTTGGAATATTCACGGCCTGCAATCAAAGATAGAAAATTATGACATCTGCAAATTTTGCGAAACATTACATATATTTTGCTTTATAGAAACCATGTGCCCACACTCATTTGACTTATCAGCTAAACTCAATAGTATATTTCAGCATTATAAATGTTTTATTTCAGACGTTAGACGTGCGAATGATCGTGGCAGATTCTCAGGGGGGATCAGTGTGTGTGTCAAACAAAATATTTCATATTCCTTTCAGAGATTCTGTGAGCAATGGAACAGTAGCGCTTGATACCTCCCGTGGAGTAAGACAAGGATGTATCCTAAGTCTCGTACTTTTTATACTTTTTATCAATGAATTTGCCACTGGACTGTATATGTCTTGTAACAGTGGAGTGTTCGTTACCCAGGATATACAAGATCTGCTACTACTAATGTTTGCCGATGACATCGTTCTTTTTGCCACTAGTGTTATTGGTCTTCAACGACAACTAAGGCTCCTGCAGACATTCTGTTTAAATTGGGGACTGGAGTTGAATTTAAGAAAGTCAAATATCATCGTATTTCGAAATGGTGGAAGTCTGGAGAAATCGGAGAAATGGTTCTTCGGTAATCAGTCTATGGAGGTTGTAACTTACTATAAATATCTTGGTATCGTGTTTTCATCAGGATTAATATGGACAAAGGCGTGTGAAACTCTTGAACAACAAGCAAACAAAACCTGCCTTTCAGTGTTTAGAATCTTTAAGAAAAACCGGGAAATTACATACTCTACGGGACGGAGTATTTTTGATAGGAAGATAGCACCAATACTACTCTACGGAGCTGAAATTTGGGGACTCAAATATTCAGATTCAATTGAAAGGATTCAAATGACGTAATTTAAACGATTTCTCAAAATTGGAAAATTTGCTTCTAACAAGGCTATCCTCGGTGAACTTGGACGTTATCCAATGTATGTTTTCAGTCAGATCAAAGCAATTAAGTTTTGGTTTAAATTGTTACACATGAATCAATAACGTTATCCCATACAGTGTTATAAGATGCTTAAAACTTTGGACGATATGGGCAAAATTAATTGGGTGTCAAGTGTAAGATCTGTTTTATTCACAAACGGATTTTCACATGTATGGTTAAACCAAGGTGTTGGCGATGTGCAGCTATTCATCTGAACCTTCGAACAACGCATCAAAGATATAGCCTACCAGACTTGGCATAATGATATTTGCAGCTCAACGTTTCTCAGCCACTATTCACAATTTAAATATGACCTTCACTTTGAACCGTACATCACTGAATTGAAAAACAAATACTTAATACGTGCGTACTGCAAATTTCGAATTTCCCATAACAATCTGAAGATAAACAAATTCAAATGTAAAAAAAAAAAGATATCCCCATAACAAGATATTTGTGCACTGTATGTAATGCATTGGAAGTTGAAGACGAGAATCATGTCTTTTTTTATTGTACATATTACGAATGTTGGTGAGAAAAATATGTGGTTCAACTTCGAAAAGTGTATAAAGGCCCACTAGCTTTAGAATCTATTTTCAAATCAAGAAACAATCAGGTAATATATTTCACTGCTTTATTTATGCATAATGTATTCCAAACAAGAGCTGGATCCATTAGACCACTGTACATCGATTAATACAACTGTATAACTGTATTATAGGCCACTAGGCCGATATTACGCAAATAAACTGTCTGTCTGTCTATCTGAATACACACAACATGTTTTCCTGATTGCAAAAACCCTTCTGTGCTTCAGTTTCAAGACGAACATGTTGATCTAAACATGAACGTCCCTTTCTGAATCCTGACTGGATGTGGGAAAGAGGCTCATTTCATTCAAGATAATAGTTCAGGCGATAAGTAACTATTCTCTCCATGATTTTACATAAATTAGAAGTGAGAGCAATCGGTCTAAATGATGCAGAAAGCGATGGATCATTTCCTGGTTTGGTGACTAAAACTATTATTGCATGTCTCCATGTCCTAGGCAAGGATCCAGAACACCAACTTAAGTTCAACAGATCCCGATAAACAGCTAGAGTAGAATCTGGCATATGCTTAAACATTTCATAGCACAACTCATTCGCTCCTGGTGTGTTCTTGATATGGTTGCCTTCAGTTCATCCCAGTTACACTTACTGGCTATGTGTGAAGATATCATTGATAGATCTAAAGGAGAAAAAAAGTCAATTTGCCAAGATCCATGCGGCTCATTTACCATCGTTTAAAAGGACAAGATCTGCTTCAACTATAATCCGTCTTGTTGCTTTCCCTAGACATATTATGGCTGTTAAAGTCCCTACATATAAAATATGGGCCTCTTTTGGGATCAATTAATTTCAGATATCAATCTACGTTTGGCTTACCTGTATAAATTAATATTAACAATAGTAATGGCTTTATCTTCCTCGTAATGAATTCTTACTGCGTTAGCCTCATACACTGTATTCGGTAATTCGTGAACCTGATACGACTAATCAGTCGCAATAAATATAGCACAACCACCTCTCCGAGGATTTTTAGTATTCGGATTGCTGATAAGTCTGTCCTGACGGAGACCAAGAGAGCCATTAATTCTAAAATGACTCTTTGGCCAAAGAAAAGTTTCCTGTACAAAAATAATATCCGACAGTGGTGACCTATTTGATAGAAAATGCTTTAAATTATCCCCATGTGCTATCAGACTTTGTGCATTCCATTGCATTATGGTCAGGAATACTAAAGCTTTATCCATCATTCATCTCAACATGTACCTCATTCAACAGATCACTAGGAACATCGATGTGAAGATGTATTTTTGCTGCAGACACAAGACGATTAATCTGTTCCTCTTTGGTTGTTGTATTAAAGCATCAGCAATATTGGCTTCACACATTGTACCCATGTGTGGATTCAAACCCGGGTCTTCGTCGTGACGAGCCAACGCTTTAACCACTAGGCTACCATACCGCCCCTACACATTGACAAACAATTCCAAATCTGTTGCATCTGCATCCTGTTAATATGTTGCTTTACAACAAACAAGCAGGTAATTTATATTTGACTCTGAACACTTCCATATTCACTTACGACGGTGTTATTCAGGTTAACGCTCACTTGTAAAACCATCTTTACCATTTAAAAAAACTTTGAAATTTTGAAAATCTTTTTTACAGCATGGCGGTATGAATCAGGTGATCAGGCTCAATTACCTAGTCCCTCGAGTGTTACTGTATCCTTCCGGCGTGGACCAAAGCGCATTATATCGGTCACATGATTGTCTAGTCCAGGGCTGGTTATCTTCATCAGCCCGCCAGCATATTACTTTAATTACTGTATCCTTCCAGCGTGGACCAAAGCGCATTATATCGGTCACATGATTGTCTAGTCCAGGGCGGGTTATCTTCATCAGCCTGCCAGCATATTACTTTAATTACTGTATCCTTCCAGCATGGACCAAAGCGCATTATATCGGTCACATGATTGTCTAGTCCAGGGCGGGTTATCTTCATCAGCCTGCCAGCATTTTACTTTTATTACTTTATCCTTCCAGCGTGGACCAAAGCGCATTATATCGGTCACATGATAGTCTAGTCCAGGGCTGGGTATTTTCAGCCCGCCAGCACATTACTTTAACTTTTAGATCCCAGCTTATCTATTGCACGAATGCCAAATAATGCAGTGCCGCCTTCAAGAACCTATCCCCTCTATCGGGAAAGTACACATTGTCCACTTCTTGCAACTGGAATATTGAATAATCGGGATCATATGTGATCCTCTGTTCGATGAATGCAATGTATCACATATTTGTCGACAGTTTGTCAGTGGAGATGTTTCAGAAAGTCTCTGTAATATATGTTTGTCGATATTCTGTCAGAACTGTGCCAGAAAGGCATGAAAGCATGTTTATATTCCGTCAGAGATGTCCCAGAAAGACATTTTATCATATGTTTGTCGATATTCTACCAGAGTGAACTATACCAGGCAGGCATTATTGAATGTGTAGTTTTGCACCCAACAATTTTCAAAAGAGAAAATGCCTCATGCAAAAACTTTTTAGATTACAACTTTGCAACAGCTTTTAATCAATTTGAATCTAGGCAATGCAGGGAAAAGACAGCATTATACAATATGAACCCTTATGATTTTTCAAGTATTCTTGATGACGATATAGTCATCATTTAAGTGAGAGTGAGAATGTAAGTGAGAATGGTTTTAAGCTGCTTTTATTTATATTCCAGCAATATCACGGCGGGGAACACCAGAAATGAGCTTCATTACACACTATTCATGTGGGAAATCGTACCCGAGACGTTGGTGTAACGGGCGAACGCTTTCACCACTGGGCTACCCCACTGTACCTTTACATCTGGAAGTTGAAACAAACTAAACGTCTAAAGACTGCCCAGTCACTTTAAATTGTACAGTGAGTTACCGGTTTACTTTGTTTACTCTTATCTTGATTATGCGTTCTATTTTCTACCTGGCGAATGTAACATGCTGCTTTCACGTGTAGATTACAACCTTGAGTAAAATATTTATAAGCTCATGTTAGTCAACAGAATGATTAAAATACCACAGCAGAATGTTGCTGCAGGTTCTGTGCGCCTTGTTTCTGTGGGGATCGGCGTTTTCTGACACAACCGTCACAATCTACAACGAGTGGCTTTCCCAGGGTGGACGTGTCCATTATGAAGTTGAACGATGGAACAAAATTAATGGTCTAACCCACTTGAACCTAATTCCAAAGTGTAAGGCTATTGGAACAGCTGCCGGGCGTTGGGTGAACAGAGACAAATCGCTTTTTCCAAACGTACGTATGAGGTAAAAATCATCATATGAGTGTCCATACAGGAAGCAAATATACTGTAAGTCCCCATGGTCTCTAGTATAGTGATATGTGTCAATATGTAGCCTGTTTTTACATTGTGTTGTCGTCTATGATAATATGATAAGATGCTAGTTTTACTTAAATCTCTTTAATACAGTAGTAGCTTTACTGTCAACAGGCTTCTAATTTCTAACGTAATTGAGTTTTTACCTGAGAATTAATTGTTCTCACGATATGGCTCAAATATTACCGATGTGACGATAAATAGTAACTCACTAACTCATCATATAGGTAGACAAGAGTTTAGCAAATTATTCCTGCTTGATTTCGATGGTCTAGTTGGGCGGTGGGGTAGTCCAGTGGTTAAGGCATTCGCACGTCACACTGAATACCTGGATTCGAATCCCAACATAGATACATTGTGTAAAGCCAATTTCTTGTGTCCCCTACAAGAGGCGACTAACGGCATCGAGTGATCAGGCTCGCTGATTTGGTTGACATATGTCATCATTTCCCACTCGATGCTCATGCTATTTATGACTGGATTGTCTTGTCCAGACTCGATTATTTTCTCACCGTCACCTTATAGCTGGAATATTGCTGATTGCGGCGTTAAGCAACAAACCAACCAATCTGTAGAGGGGAAACCGAGCAAGAAATAAAAACTTAACCAAAACCGATGAATCCCATGCCTATGGTGTAGGAGTTGGAGCATGGTCTTCCCACTACTCATGCAAACATAATACTTTTTTAGAATAAAAAATTAAACTACTGCTTGTTGTTGATGACGTAACAGCAAAGTCTCATAAAAAATGTCTACTTATTGGTCGTGGATGTCTTAAAAAACTGTTATTTAATATAACATGTACAGTGAATTTCTGAAGTTTAACTACAAATTTATCATTGCTTGATGACATATTTTTTCATCTCATTTCTTTTAAAGCTTATGTTTGTTTCAACAAATCAGGCCTGACAACATTCTTGTTTCATTCTTGTCATTTTGACCGAAATTACAGAACCATTCATTGTTATTTGTTATTCAGTGGCCCCAAAGTCATAGTCACCATGGTTACCCAGATCCGACCCATCTCCAGGACCATGCACTCCAGACAAAGTCATTCACATATTACATGGAACAACTGGCTAACTATGGCAATAACATCTCCGACATGGTCTGGAACATAGAAGGTATGCAATGTCACTAAATACTTTCAACAGGTATATAAATAGCGTGATATACTTATAAAAAATTAGGACAAAGCCGTGATGGAATGGGTGTCCAGTGTCGAAGGCTAAACGGAGCGTTTCAGGTTTCATTTTTGTTCCATTGGTCTGGGTGCGAGTGCTTATCAGTTAGCAGCAGAGTGCCCATGATCTGTTCTTTCGCCAAAGAGTTCTAAATATCTAACTATTCACATACAACCATGAAGTAGTCCAACATGCGATGATAATGTTTGACGTACATTTTCTATTACTGTATATGTTCCTCTTATACAGCTAGGCACTGGCCCGCCTGGATAAATAAATCTAATCATCATGACGGATTCCCGAACAACGTTGACGCTGCATCAGAGTTTGTATCGCTGATGGTTCAGAGTGCCAAGGACTACACAGGAGGCCGCATACCCAAAATATTTGAAGTCATCAATGAACCTGATTGGTACGAAGATATTATTGACCCACAAACGAATATAAACTTCCACAGGGCCGTCGCCGACAAGCTGAAATCAAGAATTGGAATGAAAGTTGCCGGACCATCGTACACCAGCATGGCCTTACGCGATTCAGATGAAAATAACTTCAGCTCCTGGAAGAGAACTGCAAAGTTTCTGGACATGTCTCTCGATCACTTGGACTTTTTCTCTTTCCATTCCTACAACAACCTGCATATATCAGGTGGAAATTACACCTACTATGGAATCAATGAAGCTCGCCTGTATGCTTCTCTTGACATGGTGGAGAATTACTCCCATATCAAGAAAGGAAAGAACGTTCAGTTAGTTAACACTGAATTTGGATTAGGTCTAGGTAACCTGCAATCCCAATTTGGCCCAACTTTTGAAAACGGAATGATTGACTTTGAAACAATTTACCAAGAAAATGGCTTCATGTTTACTTTCCTTAACCTGAGAGAGTTCATCGAACGAGTTACAGTATTTCTTCTTTCAAACGAACAATTCCCGGGCCATACTGCCCTCCGAAAATCGTTGTTTACCAAGGATGGTCATCCTCTTCAAAATACGAAATTCTTCCTGTTTTGGAAAAACTTCATCAATGATCAAAAGTTTCTCCGAGTCTCCAGTCAATACAATGGACAGGAGAGAATTGTTTCACCTCTTGCCCTAGCAAATCCTCGCACCAAAGAGATGGTGGTTCTACTCCACAACTATGGCAGTAAATGGCAAAATGTAAAACTGGACTTTCCCAACAGCTGGCTTAACCCTACTACGGGTGAAAGAACATGCGTTCTGTTCGAAAATGATAACCCAGCTATTCATTCCAACTACCATTTCGACAGGTCTAAGCTTCATGGCACCATTGGTCTACCTGGATCGTCAACCTGCTTTTACAAGTTCAAAACCAACTACACCTTTGGCGGAATACGCACGGACAACGAGAACACATACTATGGCAAGAACATGCTCATCCCTATCAGCAACGGACATGCGCAGACAACCATCCATCTACCTAGCTCTGGATATCACACTGCCCATCTTAGAGTAGGAGTTAGCCGCGACAAGAATGCCAATGCAAAACCCAAGGCAGTTGTGTTCAATGGCCACACGTTGTCTTCAAGCTACATGCTGTTTGATGCCATGAAGATTGACGGAAAAAAAGTGGAACGCGTGGGTGTTCAAAGTCCCTCAATCACAGGTCAACACATCAAATACCGTCAGCATGACCTTCGATGGGGATGGTGGTCAGGTGACATCTGTCGCTCTCGTTGCTGGAAAACTTCATTAGATAAAATCTTCTTCAAGAATAGTTTTTTGTTGATTTAAATATTTTCGAAGATGTAGATATACATGTTCCAATGGCATGGAGATATACTATGTACTAAGACCTACAAATAATAGATCTGGTACATAATGAAAGATCGAAGTAAACAGAAAACGTTCATATATTAGGGAGTTGCATTCATGAAGCCCACGGTCGTGTTAAATGTTAGGTCACTTTGTACCTACACGAAGTAACTCTGATAGAGACACTTATTTGGTAAAAGCTTGTGGTAATTCATCAGGCAGATTTCCAGCTTAGGTTGTACACCAATATTACCGTGAAGACCCGGGTTAAAATTGACCAGCAACCCATGTATATCATTCGCCAAGAAGAGGAAGTTTATTCTCATAAATAACATGTTGTGACATAGAGAACATACAGATAATTTACATATGAACAGTATGAGCTTATTCATGGCAAAAGTAAAACGTTACTATTGTGTACATGATAGATTCATTTGAACAATCATAAACCTTCATTGATATAACTCGCTGATTTCAAAATAAGTGATCTATAACTAGATTTCATAAGTGAATCGGGGGAAGAGAGTCAGCTAGCGGAATCGAGGGCTTGGGCATGCTGAGTTGGTTCAAACATGTTACCGTATGCCAGGTGCGACAAAAGGAGGTTCAAGATGTCAATCAATGAAGTGTCTGGTCCTGTCTCCATTATTTGGTCACAGACACTTGCTGTTGCTGGACACTTGTGAGTGCAGCTATAAACAGTCCCTCCTGGATTCCGTTATTCCGCAGTTGCAGAATAAATCCAGGAAATTACCCTTTAATGCAGAAAAACGTCTGGTCCTCAGAAAAAGCATTTTCATGCAGGATTTCTGCAGAATTTGCCATTTATCTGCTACAGAATTTCCTCATTTTGAAAGTTCAGTCAAGTTTGACTGTCAAACAAAACAATATTTTGTAGATTTTGTAATGTCATTTCTGATCACGCTTGTTGGAGTACTGTTTCTGATCATCTTCCTAAATCTAATAAAACCATCTTGCAAGGAAGAACAAACTGCCGACTGTACCTTGAATGTCATGAAGGTCTTAAACATTTACAACTTTGTGTTTAAAGTTTGAAATTCTTTATCATTTCCTGTTGTTTTTTAAGTAAATAACTGCAGAATGTTTTGCAGAAGTTTGAAATGTGGGATGCAGAATTTACTTAAATCTGCTGCGGAATTCGTAAACATTCGCTCCCAAAACTTTCAAACTCAATTTAAACCTACTACCATTTTTAATCGTAGCCTACATGTTATTTACATTTATAGCTAGATTGTCTAAAATTGCCAATAGCTGAATGGGTGGTGTAAATCCAGCTAGGGTCCATGCAGGAAACAAATGTACTGTAAGTTCCCATGGTCCCTAGTATGGCGATCTACCTTCACTTGTTGGCAATCTATAGCCTTTTTATATATTCTATTGTTTTCATAGTTTAGATGTTTAAGATTTTCATACTAGTTTTACATTTATAACTGTCATATTCTAGTTATTTTACTGTCCTTTGCGGAAAGGTAAGTATATTCACAGAAATTATTTTTATTCATTTAGAAATGTACAGCTTTCTTAGTCACGATACGGCTAAAATACTGCCTATATATTCTTTTAGAGTTATATCACTAACACGATATGAGATATTGTAATTGCCTTACACATATATTTCATAATTCGAGATTTACATTACGTATTCTGGTAAAAAGAAGGCGAACTGAGATGGGACTTTCTTACCTGAGACACAGAAATGGTGGGAACGTTATCACAACCACAGTAAACAATATGTTAAAAAGAATGCCCACATTTCACTCAATGACAAGTAATTGTAGATACAGGAAACAATTGTAGTTTTGGGGCGCGGTGGGCGAGCTGGCTAAATCGCCAGGCTAGTGATCCAGCGAGGTTGAGGTGCCGGGATCGAGCCAACCTGTGACCAGGTGTAAAAAACCTTGGAGTCAACTTTGAGTGCAGACTCGTTCAGTGTTGTCATAACCCCTAGTACACTGTACCACGAATCCGATGGTATATGACCAGATGGTGGCCACATAAATACGTGCAAACACCTAGTTGCGGGTACAGCAACGTGCAGTGAACTTGGACAAAGTACTGTGTCCAAGTCCACCTAGCTGTGAATGGGTACCTCGTTAGGGTGAGAAAGCCGCAATACATCGGTGCGCCTTGTAGCAGCAAGAGTAGTATACACCCCAGGGGATTTATATTACGATCCAATGATCGAGGGAAAAAAATACCAGCGCCTTGAGCATGCACTAGATACCTGGATATGTGCGCTATATAAATATCCTATAATAATAATAAAATAATAATACTTGGGAACCATCTGTATTTAATGGCAAGCTATCATATAAATGCCGTAACTTTTAATTCTTTAAGCATAACGTCATCCAAAAGGTGAATATATAATCACAAGCACAAACAGCTAATTGTATCTAGTAGCTACATTGAAGGCGTATGTTGACCTCGAATTGGAAACTCTACTCTCATATCTGCAACGACACGAATTATACTTTATAATGATAAAGTTTTGGTTTATGTTTTGTATAATAAATGCTTACACTACACATATTTTACCCAGTGTTTACAATCCGCAACGTCCATGTACTCACTCATCAAAGATAATCTGTTGACACATGGTCAAAGCGAAACAATCCGAACTCTCTGTATATTACCGCTGACAAAACCGATGCAACGCTTGATTTAACATAGATTCCTCGCAACAAAATTTCACATTATGCCTGAACATGAAGTGGTGTACGTTCCAAATGCGCGCGTCTGTACGTTGATACATGTCATCGTATCCCAGTTGCATGCATCGATGCTAATGCTGTTGATCACTGGATTGTCAGATCAAGACATCACACGAATCTGGTCTTCTTGTAACATGGTGTTGTGTGAGATAAGTGTCTAGAGATACTATTGTAGTAAGATAGCTGTTATGTTATACTTGGAACATTGCTTCACAATGAACATCACTGTCACCTAGCAACATATTGTACAGAATGTAGAACTATATATTCCCACCAACATATCCGTATGTGTAGGAGGAAACCAAGCTATTCACCTATCTGTTGAAAATCAACGATCCCTCCACTTGACACAAGCACCTCCTAAAAAATAGCCTGAATGTTTCATACCTCTATACTTGTTACTCCCATTCCGTACTCTAAACCAACAGTACTCTCAACTTGAAAATACTCTAGATATTGTTACAAGCCCATTACTGAAAACCTTCTCATTGATTTTCTGTGATTTTCGCTGCTAGTTTTCCTCTCACGCCCACTGGAAATTCCCAGGCTGGTTATTCCCAGTCGTTGCTCTTTTTTACATATCTCATAGCATTGGTGTTGCATGCAGAGTTACACACTATGACAAACACTGTTTATCTGCAGTCACGATTTGTCAGCCTATCTTGATAAGACCCGTGAAGGTCCGGGTTAGAATATTGGCCTTCAGTAACCCATGCTTGTCGTAAGAGGCGACTAACGGGATCGGGTGGTCAGGCTTGCTGGCTTGGTTGACACATGTCATCGGTTCCCAATTGCGCAGATCGATGCTCATGTTGTTGATCACTGGATTGTCTGGTAAAGACTCGATTATTTACAGACCACCGCCATATAGCTGGAATATTGCTGAGTGCAGCGTAAAACGCAACTCACTAGCTCACTGAAAACCTTCTCACTGATCTTTTGTGATTTTCCTCTCACGCCTACTGGAAAATAGAGACTGGTTATTCCCAGCCGTTGCTCTTTTTTTAAATATCTGATAGCATTGGTGTTGCATGCAGCGTTACTTGTTTCTAGAAGAAACACAGACGAATGAATCACACGACAGTGTCCATGTCCAAGGTCTCCTCATATATCGACATATAGCCTGAATTAAAACTGTTACATAAGTGTTACAGCAACATATATATTACGAAATACGTCTTAGCCGCCAACCCTTCCTGCAAAGAGAAGACAACTGGTCAAAGCGTTCACTGGTCCATTTCCTAGATGTGTACAACGTGTGGAACCCATTTCTGGTGATATTGCTGGAATATTGTTTAAAACGGCGTAAAAGATTACTCACTCCTGCGATAATTATGCACTAGTTTGCTCAAAAGAAAAAACATGGTGTCGATTCTTTTGAAAATCTGTTTAGTCATAACCTTATCTTTTAATGTCATTGTGTCCAGATTTCAAACAGATGTCACATAGATGTCAGCGTTTACAGAACGTGTTGTTGACTCATGATTCCAGTCTAAATTAGAATTTAAGTCTATTTTAAGTAAGTTCGTTCCTGCTTTTAACAAAATAACGTCCTAAAATGTACACTGTGCCATCAACAAAGAATCAGAAGTTATGAAAATGTTTACTCGAGTGAGTAAATGTGAACGTGAATGATAAAGTTGACAGTCTTTAATGCAAAACACAAACTTCAAACTATACTCTGCAAAAAAAGAAACGCACAGGTGAAAACTCAGGAATGTAAACACTTTATTGTGTTTCCAAATAAAACTTTAACTAATGATCGCACGAACGTAAAATTTCACATGGATGTTGTCAAGAGTCAGCTTTACAACATGCAGCTATCATTTGTCTCTGAAACCATTGCACCGGGCGTACAGATGGCGTGGAGGTCAGTACCTGTTGTGACCACCTCGAGCTTGCAACACAGCTTGGCACCTCCTGTCCATGGACATGATCAGTCTTTGAATCCGTGCTTGGGGGATCCTCCTCCATTCCTCCTGCAAGGCTTGAGACAGTTGTTGCAACGTTTGGGTTGAGGCTGACGACGTCGAACGCGTTTCCCAAGCTGGTCCCACAAATGCTCTATTGGGTTCAAATCGGGGGATTTTGAAGGCCAGGGAAGAACTGTGATGTTCTGATTCGTCAGGTAGTCCATCGTGATGCGAGCCACGTGCGGTCTGGCGTTGTCCTGTTGGAAAACGTGACGTTGAGGGTTGATGACAGGTAAAAGATGACGTTGCAGAATTTCATCCCTGTAACGAATTGCAGTCAGGTTACCACGGACGTGCACCAAGTCACTTCTCCCGTTGTAAGAAATGGCCCCCCATACCATCACACTTCCTCCAAATCTGTCCGCTTCAACTACACAATTACGGGCGTAACGTTCGTTTCTCCGTCTATAGACCCTCGTCCTACCATCGTGTCTTTGAAGTTGGAAACGAGATTCGTCGCTGAACCAAATTCGCTGCCAATGTCTCCAATTCCATCTCTGGACGTTCCTGCACCATCGAACACGTGCCAGGCGATGATGAGGTCGTAGTGTGCATCCTACGTGAGGTCGTCGAGGGCGTATCCCGTGCTGTCTGAGGCGATTTCTGATGGTCTGGGCGGAGACGCGGCGAAGACCTGGGACGTTCTCTGCTGTTTGTGTTGCTGGGACGGCCCGGTTACGTAAATGGAACACCCGGATGTAGCGGTCCTGTGCAGCATTGGTTACCCGTGGTCTACCACCCGAGGTCGGTCGCGGGTCGAGCCCAGTTGATTGTAGCGCCTCCATAAACGGGAAATTGTTGTGTGATGCACGTTGAAGTGTCTTGCAACTGATGACTGAGATTCGCCAGCCTCAAGACGTCCGATGGCGATGTTCCGGTCAGCTTCGCTAAGTCGTGGCATGTTGAATTCGTCAGTAAACTGGCGTTGAAAGTGAATTGAACACGTTAAACTGCCTTCCTCATATACCCTACACACTGGTGCATAGGTGAAGCAACTTTCACGTGCATATCGTTCGAAGTGTCATTTACACGTGAAAATTTCATGATATTTTCAAAACCATCATCAAACAACAATATTTCATGAAATGGTGTGTTTGAGCGATACTTAATGGATATGAACAAGTATACATTATGTTTGGTTAAAGTAACCGGGTTTTGTTTGCATAGAAATAAAATAAAGTTAATTTTAAATTTCATTATCACCTGTGCGTTTCTTTTTGCAGAGTATATGGCAGTGACACTATTCAGAGTCAAAGTCTCCGCGTTTGGAAAGGGACGTCTCTCTAAACACCCAAGAATTAAATCCAAATTTAAGCCCATGGCCTTAAATACGGGGGGAAATCTCGTATTTTAGCCCGTGGGCTAAATTTCGCGTGGGCCTTGTTTTAAGTATGAAGACTATTACACACATTGGGGTCATTGATCGTATTGTTATAAGGTAAAAATGCATCCCTAAATCAGTAAGAGAAGTACATCAGACTCCCTATATAGATTTACAGTTTGGCTCATGATTGATAACGGCTAGACACTGTTGGGAGACAGAAAGTCTAAAGATAATAACAGAACACAATAACAGATCAATAAAAGGGGAAAGTTACCAAACGGTATTTAACGATAATTTCCAATCGTAATATTCATGAGTGCTAGGACGGATATAGGATTAACGAATCAAAACAATGAGCTGAACATGTGATCAAGATCAGGCCAGGCTCGAACCATATAAAAAGATAGGTTTGGCACTGAGCGAGTGGTGCGCGCTTTTAAGTGACGGAAGTCTGTCCACGCCACTCAGTTGCCCCGTGTGGTACGAGCCTACCCTGTCTGTTGATGAAGTTGTATTTAGAGATGGACTTAGACAGAGTAAACTATGTGAGTATCAAACTTAGTGTTGCGTTTATCTGTGAGTGTATGTGTGCCAGTACATGAATGTAATGCGGGTAGCTAGGAGTCATGGTCGTCCGACCCCTCACTCCTGGACTTAGCATCCGGCAAACGACCAAGCGTGTGGAGCGCCCGAGCTACAATCTTCCCCTGACAATGGGAACGGCCACAATTAGTAGGTAACTGTTGCAGGGTTTACTAACATCCAAACGCCAATTACGACAATATCTTGTTGATAACTGTCCCTTGTTTCAGAAACCGCCTTCAAAGAACTGAAAACAAAATGCCCAACAAAGTATGTCATGAACGTCCAGACTGACGTATACACGCATGTGCAAATGTGCACGCATGGGGATATATTATAATAATACCGCATTCACTTGCCGAACAACTGAAATCCGAGCAAAGCCACAGACTATCCACTTGCCAAAACCCGTGTAACTCGGAGGAGGCAAAGACCATTGCCTTGACCAAAGCAGGTTAAACCTAACTGAATCATGTGAAGCCTAATATTGAGACTTTCCAAACTTGATAGTGAGCTAATATTTAACGTCAATGTTTCATCCATATCGTGATCCACAAGTGATAAAAGTTACTTGTGGTGTGTGCTCCTGTGCATAGAGCTAAGGCCACAGATTAGTTGAAGTTAATCAACGTTGAGCGCGGAGAGTCCTTGGATGGGTGACCGTGTGTGACAGCTTCACTCCTGAGAGTTTCTAGGACTTCAGTCCTGCCCCACAACGAAACACATGTGATACATGTGGTCTCACCTTAAGCAAGTGCGTTTGTTCAAATTTGCCACTGTTCACCCAGCAGAAAATGGGTACCCGGTGAAATAAGCCGTGAGACTATTAACTTCCCTAGCGCCTAACAGCTAGCTTAGGTTATTGGGGGTAATAATGACCAGATTGTGTTTTTGAGCAGATATCTAGCCTGGAAAAGGCCCGTTATAAATATTCTCATTATTATTATAACTCCGATTATTAAGCTGTTTATTTAAAAGTTCATTTACAGGAAACGAAACGGTATGTGAGAAAGGCAATGAAATGATAAAAGGAAATATACAGTGGAATGTAATAAATACGTTGGTTATTTTGGTTGTTTAACGCCGCTCTCAGCAATATTCCATCTGCATGGAGGCGGTCTGTTAATAATCGTGTCTGGACCAGACAATCCAGTGATCAACAGCATGAGCCTCAATTTACGCAGTTGGGACATGATGACATGTGTCAGCGAGTCTGACCACCCGATCCCGTTAGTCGCCTCTTACGACAAGCATAGGTTACTGAAGATCAATTCTAAACCGGATCTTCACGGGTCTATCACATAACAAGTAAAAGAGAATGGTACTTGAAAACTATAAAATGATGTTGTATGCTAATACACGGCTAATACAATAACATTCACTCATATTAAGCATACTATGTTCATGTACTCACCCATATACATGTATGTTTTGAAATGAAAATTTGAAATCATTGAAGTTTTGTTGATCTTGTCAATCAGTGAAAAGGGGAAACTGACCAAGACTGGCTGAGGCAGAGAATAGTGAAACGTACCCAGTTCGACAACTAAACTGTGACAAACATTTACTGTTATAGAACTATGGAATAACTGTCTTATGGTAGAAAATGCTTGAGCATAAAATATAACTAACACTCTACCAATACTCCTTTCCTATTGTCAAATTTATATGTTAAAGTAATTGAATGGTAACATGGTCATAATAATGCTTTCTTAACGCTAACTTATCTCAATATATACTAACTAATCTTAATTAGAAGTCATGTACATATGTACATTTGCAACAGTAACACAATTATTGGTTCCATATTTCCATTACACAGTACAATATATCGGATATCATAAATAACAGTCACACACAGCCACGTTATTGTAAGGAACATAAAGTTGAAGGAGGTGCATGTAGCTTCACAACTAATAGACGAGGCAGGGGAGTTACAGTGATTAAACACTCAATAGACTTTAATGTAATGAGGATTCTATAAGTCTGTCATATAACGCAGGTACAAGAAGTCAAATCAAAGGTGAACACAATGCGTGCAACTACACACAGTAACAATAATGTAGTTTTCATAAATCAATTTACATTAAACACAGGTTAGATGAAGAAACTTCGCGATGCTTAAAATGGTGATTGTCATAAGGAAAGGAATGCATCCACAGACTGTGCAGTAGCTGATGATCAAATCAGTCCAGCAATAACATTGCTATCTCCATGGAGTACGCTATTATTCGTATGACCATCAAGGAGAGACTGTCGCACCAACCAATTATAGTCTCACCTGGCAGGATTGAGTGAGTGAGGAAAGATTTTAAGTGACATCGGCAATATTTCGGCCTTATCGTGACCAAGACCTGTCCTAAATTCATGATAAATACTGTGGTAAACCCTGTCAACGAAGAACAGTAAAAGAAATCGACTATCACATATTTGTTGAAACTAGATCGAGGAAAATTGAAATAATACACTAACAATTAATGATACGAGATCACAAATTGGCAAGATATCGTTTGCAAAGGCATTTACCACCAAGCAGGAATATGGCATCTTGCAATGTCGAACTGGACAATCATAAATTAATCAACTCAAGGATAAAATGCGCCTGATTAAGGATCTTGTGAAGTGCTAGGCATCATGTTGTCCTTCCAATTCAGACACTGTGAGTCCCAGTCTGTTGAGATTACTGATTACTGAGATAATGTGGGAGTTTATGAAGCAGTAACATTACATTTAAACAATCACATGTCGAATTGGCTACAATCACTTTATAGGTATGATAAACGGCTGAACATTACGATTTCAATATTGACGCCCTTTTAACATAAGCTTAGTGTACTAATTATCTTAACTTTGAGTGATCATATATTTTCTTAGACGTCAACACATAAGTCATATAAGAGTTACAGAAATTGTACATGAAAACGTCAGCATCCTACTACTGGTCCTGTTTTATCATTTCCCATGCAAATATAGAGTAGTGCACATGCTTTGACACTGGCAGCAATTATATCTCAATAACGTAGGACTAGAACCATATGAAATCACCGCATACACAGATGACATGTGCACATATGAGAATGCATGGAGACAGGGACAGGTGTCAGGTAACATCATGAAACTGTCTCAGGCTATAAGCCGTCTCATACATAAATGGCAACGAACATATTTTCTTAGAGCTTTGTCATTGTACCTGTAAATGTACCTTTTTAGGTTAAACATAGAGTTATGTAGGATAGGATTGATTTTCGTTATTGTGATATATGATATTTACATAGATGAATTATTCGTATTTATTATATGAAGCCAGAACAGCCCATGTTTGGTATTTAGGACAGAAGTAAGATGTCCCACTATCAACACGTTATCACGGCCGTCACTCATAATCTCGAAACCAGAAGATGTGTTCTTGTAGCCTCGAACTATGTTCTCACTGCCTGCAGTGGCCACGACAAAATATAGTGAAATCTACACAATGTGTGTTGAAATCGATTTTTGTTTTGTATTGGTAGGCCACAGAGACTAACAGATCTGCACCTGATTTGCAAACTCACTGCAACCGTGTGTTGAACCATTTCACTGAACCTGGTCGATGTATTCTCACGTTACCACATACTACCTAAACACCAAATGTCTTCACAAACAGGCAATGAGATCCGAAAGAGTGCGTAAATTCTGATTTCTCCTTTTGTCTGGCTGCAGCGTAGTAGTTGTTACAGATGGAGATATTAAGGCCGATTCTATCATCGTTTTAACACAAAACAGTTCAAACTTAACGGACTCACACAGCTGTATCTTATTCCAAATATGACATCTATCCGAGCAGCTGCCGGACGATTCTAGCTTAGTTTTAAATACAAAATAGCAAAAACAAAAGATCCAAAAACGTTTCCTCATTGACGATCCATGGGGGTGGGGGGGTAACCATACCATGTTAACTATTAAGGTGAGGTGAGGTGAAATTGGGTTTAACGTCGTGCTTGAGAATATTTCGCTCATATGACGACGTGAATGCGTGTGTATGTGCAGGTGCGGCTGCTTGTACTAGCCCAGACTGAAGCTGGTTTTATAGTGCTAGCCCACTGAGATACCATGCCGCAGTAAAGCATGAATACCCAACTCAGACACATTATACTGACTCCGAGCCGACCAGTCCTTCAAGTACCAATTAATGCCGAGCGCCAGGCAAGGACCAACAAGTACCATATTTTAACGTCTTTTTGTATGACGCGGTCGGGGATCGAACCCGCGACCTTCCGCTCTCTGGGCGGACGCTCTAACCACTGCACCACGCAGGCGGTCTAAACTGTTAAGGGGGCACCTTTGTGCAGATGTCACCTTTTGTCCAGTACTAATAATGGTGATTTTGAACATACATCGTACCTTAAAATTAATCAAAATAGTAAATAAGAACGCAAACAAAACTCATCCATGTTTATATCAAAAGTGTACATCGAGTGAGTGAGTACCTGAACATGGTTTTATGCTGTAACATTACGGCGTTGACACTAGAAATGTCCCATTGTCATCATATGGTGATCAGACCCAAACGTTCAGTGTAAAGACCACAATCCCACATCATTCCGCATTTACTGGTAGCATTTCAACCTATATATTAACCTTGTGGCATGAGTTCATTGTGAAACATTTTCTCTGATCGATTTTGCAAAGTTGATACATATTTACACACAGCCTGTGTTGGTTGGTTGGTTGGTTTTATAGTTTTTGGGCGACGTGGGCCAATATGAGGCCAGTTTACGCCCAACACTTTGACTTGATTTAATAAACAATCATAGGTAATTTCATCGCCAAAAGGAATCGTTTAGTTAAGATAAAAGAAACGACAACACTAATAACATTAATCTGGATAGATGTATACGTATGTCGAATAACCTCTGCTTTGTGTTACGGATTAAAAACCTTTAGTAATCACTTCCATTTCTGAAACATGAAATACTCATTCATTAAAAAAAGCAGAAGGTTCAGATGACAGAGTGTTAAAATGATTTAAAACCACAGAACTAATTCTGTCTTAGCCATTCGAGAGTCTGTCTAGATTACATCATATTTTCCAAATGACGAGACAAAATCTCAAACTGCCCGTTGCACAGACCCATACATGATATTGGGGCCCAAAACCGGTTCTAATGAAAATACATCATCAACCTCAAGTACAGCACTTCTGAGGTTACGTCATGTTATTATGCCCAGGGCATGTAGTTAGAAAATGTTCAATATTTTCAGGCGTCTCCAATTTGCAATGGCCACATTTAGAAGAGACCGTCTTATCTATAATACTCATGTAAGCATTTAGCCCACAGTGTCCAAGTCTTAGACGTGAAAGAATAACCTCATCACGCCTTTTACGACGACGAATTTTATGACCAGATTTTAATGATGGTCTACGTTTGTACATATGTCGGCCGGTCGTACATGTATCCCACAACTGTTGCCAACTCCTTGTAACAGATTTCGATAAAACATTTTAAAAATCTTTAGGGATTGGCTGAAATTTAAATAAATCAACTTCAGGAAACTGTAACCCGGATTTGGCCAGATCTGCAATCTCATTCCCATGTATTCCAACATGTGCTGGGACCAACACAATGTCGCATGCAATGTACTTCATGTTTAAAGATGTATCCAACTTTAATATCTCATGAACAATGTCATCTCTTGATCCATTTGCACCAGCTTCTATAGCTTTGATTGCTGCCATGGAATATGTAAGGATAATTGCTTCATGGTCATGTTCATCTACCCATCTCCACGCTTCCAAATGGACAAAAGTTCAGCTTCAAAAACAGAAAGATAATCATTAAATCTGAACACCTTAGCGATCGATAAATTGGGTATCCAAAAAGCTCCAGCAGTTCGATCATTGGATGGTTCTTTCGACGCCTCAGTGTAACTATGTGTGAAATTAGAATAATTTTCAGACAGAAAGTCTTGAGTTATCACTTCTATTATGTTTTGGTCCGTTCTCTTATTCACTCTTATTCAGAATTCAATCCAGGCTTCAGCAGAAGCCACGGAATTGTGGCAGGCGGAGAAGGATCAACTGGTTACAGTTGTAAATACCATGTTGATCAGCTTATCTCTGTATGTTCAAGCCAAAGGGTAATTTGCCATGAGTCCAGTCACACATGACATATTCCACACAGTCAGTAACAATCTCAGTGACTGCATGGTGTTTGTTCTTGGTTTTCATGTTCAAAAATATTTCAAAGATACCTGTTGTCTTCTAAGGTGAAGGGGCATTTCTGAACACTCAACTTGAAGCACTGAGGTTGGTGTTGTACAATAACCCCCAGTGCATATTCTCAAAGCTTTAGACTGACTTCTATCAAGCTTATTAAGATGATATTTAGCCGCCGACATGTACACCTGGCAACCATAGTCAAGTCTGGACAAGATAAGGGCCTTGTACAGCAAAAACATAGTTGACTTATCAGCACCCCACTTTGTTTTTGAAATACACTTTAATAGATTGATGATCTTGTTACATGTGTTATACAAATGTGTGATGTGATGAGACCATGTTAATCTTTGATCAAAATACACACTAAGAAATTTGAACACTGACACCTTTTCCAGTTTATGGTGTCCAAGAGTTAGATTGATATCATGAGGGATCTTACGTCCTGTGATCATCATTGCCACTGGTTTTTATTTTGAAATCTTAAACCCCCATTTTGAACACCATGTACTGACTGTACTTAAAGGGTCACTGATCCAGAGCAATTTCCGTGGACTGGTTGTTGCTTTTGTTATTGTTTTCCCCCAGTGAATACCCGGATGATATCCCAGAATTCATGACTGGTTCGTTACCTCTGCTGCGCCACCCTCATCCGCAATTGATAGTGTAAGTATATGCTGATCAACAAAGATGAAATCTTTTTTACTGGATAATATTGATTTTGTTGTAAAATATTGTAGACTGTGATGAATAATTTGGTTTCTTGTAAAAAATATTCACTTTGATAACAATGCTGAAATTGATTTCATAGTAATGTTGACTTTATAAAAATGCTAACGTAAATGGATGTAGAATGTGATTTAAGAAAAAGTTTTACCTTGAATTTGGTGAGAAGCCTGATATAATAGCACTGTGTGAAAGTAAGGATAACTAGGTACATGGGGAGTCTTGGGGAGAGTAGTGAGCTTGGGTTCACTACTAGTCAATCTGAATGTTGTATTACATGGCATTATTTTGATAACAAATGAAAACAGTTTAAGTTTAAACAGTGGTAAAAAATGTTAGGACTGAAATAACGAAGTCAATGTACGTCTGTATATTTTGTCTTATAATCCTAATTGGTTTTTTAATCATACTTGTATGCATTTTGAAGCTTAATAAAATGCACACGATCTGCTTATACTTAGGGAATTTATAACATGACTGTAATATCTGGACATCTTATAGATGCCAACCTGTATCATATATCACAAAGACGTCCTAAGTGCGACCTAGTGGATCTTGTCTGTCTCATTACCTTTCACGTAAAAAAAATATGATTCTGTTGAATGCCATAACAAATAGATTAAAACAAAATGCAAATATTAAAATAGACCAAAGTTATAGCAACAATATCAGGCTATTACCTTGTTCGGGGAACGTATCCATCGATATCCACATAAAGGAATGAGATGCCATTCATCTGCAGCTGACAAAGAATCCTGTTCTATGTCATGTGTCTTTCAACAGTCTAATATGCGAAAAAGTGATCTATCGTATCAGGTTTTTTATATTGGTGTATCCCATTGGTCACCCAAGATAGCACACCTAGCAACTGATTGCATGATGTCCACATTAGTTAACCAATAATGAGCAATCAATCAAGGATTTGGCGGTTAATCCTTTGAAGGAAGGACGTTGTTTTTACAAAGAGAGTTTACGGCAGGGTGTATTCAGTATAGATTAGTAAATCTACATACATAAACACTACCTTTTGACAAATCCGCTGTGCAGGATAAAAGCACTTAATCAACCAGCGTGTTATCTGTTAATCCCTTGATGTTTGTTTTGAAACTGATAATTCCCTCGATGTTTGTTTTGAAACTGATAATTCCTCTTGCTGCACTTCCATGCGCATATTACATAAGATGTAATACATTTGCCACATCAGACCTTAATTTATAATGATGAGTATTTACTCCAGGCACAAGAAATGCCAAATGGGAATCTTTGTCGGGTAATCTGAGTGGTTTTATCACTAATTATACCTGTTATAGATTCATTAACTGACCATCAAGTGAATGATGACATATAACATGTGTAGATTTACCACCAAACAAGGGTTACAGCAAGAGAGTAGTAATCGCTGTGTTGCATGCAAGTTTGATTGTCTGAAAAAAACCTTATGGGCCGACACTGTTCTGAGGATACGAACGGATCGAACTTCATTGTTACATAAGAAATATATATAAGCATTTACTGTGTACTTATTTAGAAACTGTTATATACCTAAGTACTTAAGTAAAACTTCAGATTGTTTTTAGCAATGGCAAAGTTGGGTTGTTTGGTTTATGGATTCAAATATATCAAATGTGAGTTTTGGATATCATAGCATACGTAATAGACATGATATTTTACATGATTAAAATCGAGGTTAAAAGCACAGAAATTGGGTTGTTCACTACACCATCCAAACATTTGAAAATCTGAAAAAGCCTACACTGCTTGGATACTTGATTACAATCAGACAAGCACTGTAGGGGATATTTCCAAATAACGGCATCTGATGGGCATCCACCCTTCCTAATGTTCCACTGATTAGGTTGAAGAAATTCTGCCAAGGTGGACAGTAGCCAAGTCCCCGTGTCAGTCACGGTCGAGGGAGCAGGGGCTGACCGGTTTGCAGCTAGGTTTTGTAATATGACTGTTGGCTGGAAACATTAATCGCTCTGGATCAGTGGCCCTTTAAGCAGTTTTGTATAGATTCTTTGACAAACTGAAATTTACCAAATCGTCTCCCAAACGATCCGTCATCAGCAAACTGTGCTGCGTTTATGTGTAGAGGAAGGGCCTCGAAAATGTCATTGATCATAATTTTAAATAAAACTGGACTTAATACACTTCCTTGTTGGGTACCATTTTCAATCATATGCACGCCTGACAGTTGTTGACATATGCGAACTTTAATGGTTCTTTCGGAGAAAAATGATCATATCCACTTGAACATGTTGCCTATAATTCCAAGTTTCCACTATTTAAAAAGCAAACCATTTCTCCAAATCATGTCATAAGCCTTTTCAATATCAAGGAATACACACAGCATGTATTCCTGGTTCGATAAAGCCTTCTGTGCTTCAGTTTCCAGACGAACATGATGATCTTCCACCGTAAAATACGTTGGAACGTGGCTCGTTTCTTACGAATCAGCCAAATCACATGGCAATGACGAGTGGCGAAACTTATTATATGCCTTTTTCCTTGCGATATTGGCTTTTTTACAGCTGTCATTCCACCAGGACTTTGGCGGGAATGCCTCTTTCCTAACAGACGAGTTTCCAATGGACTCTTCTGCAATTCTTATCAGTTGTGTTGTGATATTTTCGTTAGACATATTAACATCACCATTTATAAGATCGGATGTGATATGTACAGCACACAGACTAGACAGAAGTGCCCAATTAGCCTTCTTGAATTTCCACCGAGGGACATTATCACAAGAATCACGATATGGTCGAACCTGAATTTCAGTAAAAACAGGAAAATGGTCACTACCTAACGCATCTTCCTGAAATACATCCCAGTTACACTTACTGGCTATGTGTGATGATATCACTGATAGATCTAAAGGAGAAAAAGTCCATTTGCCAAGATCCATGCGGTCATTTTACCATCGTTTAGAAGGACAAGATCTGATGCATCTAAAAATTGTTCAACAATCTGACCATTATAATCCGTCTTGTTGCTTCCCCAAGACATATTATGGCTGCTCAAGTCCCCACATATAAAATATGGGCCTCCATTGGGGTCAATTTATTTCAGATATTCATCTACGTTTGGCTTACCTGTATTATAAAAATTAACAATAGTAATGGCTTTATCTTCCTCGTAATGAATTCTTACTGTGTTAGCCTCATACACTGTATGTGTTAATTCGTGAACCTGATACGACAAATCAGTCTTTAAAAATATATAGCACAACCACCTCTCAGACGATTTTTAGTATTCGGATTGCTGGTAAGTCTCTCCTGACGGAGACCAAGATAGCCAGTTCTAAAATGACTCTCTGGCCAAAGAAAAGACCCCTGTACACAAATAACATCCGGCAGTGGTGACCTATTTGATAGAAATTGCTTTAAATTATCCCCAAGTGCAATAAGACTTGGTGCATTCCATTGCATTATGGTCAGGAACACTAAAGCTTTATCCATCATTCATCTCAACATGTACCTCACTCAGCAGATCACTAGGAACATCGATGTGAAGATGTATTTTTGCCGCAGACACAAGACGATTAATCTGTTCCTCTTTGGTTGTTGCATTAAAGCATCAGAAATGGGCTTCACAAATTGTACCCATGTGGGGATTCGGACCCGGGTCTTCGGCGTGACGAGCCAACGCTTTAACCACTAGGCTACCCCACCGCCCCTATACATTGACAAACAGTTTCAAATCTGTTGCATCTGCATCCTGTTAATATGTTGCTTTACAACAAACAAGCAGGTAATTTATATTTGACTCTGAACACTTCCATATTCACTTACGACGGTGTTATTCAGTGCAACGCTCTCTTGTAAAACCATCTTGACCATCTCAAAAACCTTAAAGGTCACATGCAACCAAAAAATCAAACATAATTAAAACACAATTATCACTTATTCATGACATATAATATACATTGCCGGTTATGAAAAAACATATAAACAAAATTATAAGCGTACAAGCGCAAATCAAAAGTGCAAAATTGTGTACTTGGGTTTACTTCCCAAGAAACGAAGCAGCCGGGATACCGAACCCAGTCAGAGCGGATGGGTGTGCACTCAAGTGTAACGGCTGGTTCATTTGCAGATGCCCTCACGGCTAATTGTGTGTGTATATATAGAGATGTTGGGTTTTGTAAATACATGCTCATTTTTTGTGTATAACATTTTGCAATCAACAGACATCATAACATGTCATGTGTTCAAGTATCACACCTGCCTGTCTGTGTAATTACATAATGTGACAGAGACCGAACTCGGGCCATAAATCAATGCATTTTGTTTATGGTGTATAGCCTGATTGGTGTTAAGTTCAAATTGCATGTGGTCAGTGATAGCAGCTGTGTATTGAATATTGTCATTAGCAGACAGGCAGGCAGACACACAGGTGTCAATAAAACAAGACATTGAGTTTTGTCTGTGACAACGACATATCTATATCACAGTTAGAAATTCTGTCAACGCTAAATAATGACATTGCTTTTAAGTATCGAACTGAGAAAGTGTCTCGGTAAGAAGAACGTGTGGTGAAATAGACAAATGAAATTATATAAACAGTTAATCTACTGTCATAACATATAAAAAGCTCGCGCCTGTGAGATATCAACAAAACATTAGAAAAAATAGCTCACACCAAAGGCTTCACCAAGTATTCACCCGACAACCCGCTTCCAAGTTGCGCGAACCTATTTACTTGCGCACGTGCTATGAGCGCAGCCCAGCTATTGAAACCCGTTTTCCCCAGAAAAGTCTGGGGAAAATTAGGGAAACGTTTGAACTCCGATTTCGCGCGGGTTTTTTTATAACGTTATTTTTCAACTTTATAAGTTGAATTTACATTTTTGACGATTTGTTTCGGTAAGTCCATACCGAAAGGTATCAGAATCTGCAAAGTTGTGTTTTACGTTGCATGTGACCTTTAAGATTTTGAAAA